TGGTGTAGCTGAGAAATTTGAGGCTACGGCCTTGAAAAGACTTCAAAAGCACTATGTTTTGCCTTTGTGGCCAATAGCGCTGCTCTGAGAAGAGCAATTTTACTGTTAAGTGTCGCCATGTCAAAAAAATAATAATAAAACTTACAGCAAATACTGTTGTAAAGGAGGTGCCAAGAAACTAACACTGTTAGATGAATTGCGCAAGGGGCTTGGTTTGCACAGATTTGGCTAAAAATAGGCTAAAACGCAATGTACTAAAAAAAATATAAACTGCAATCAAAAATGGAAGATAGAAATAACTTAATTTTTGAAGCTTTTTAGTGTGAGAAAATGCAACAAAAGTTTTTGTAAGTTTTTAAAATAACAAACAAAAAAAGAGAAAAAAACGAGAAGAAAAACAAATAAGAAAAAGGTACGCCAAAGAGAAATAATATAGGTTGGCTAAAAGAGTCAAGCCCACTTAGAGTTCAACAAAAAGTTACATCACAACGAGAAACGGCAAAACGAAACAAAAGCAAACAGTTCTTGGAAACTAAAGTGTCCTTTACACTGTATAGATATAGTGGCAGGTATTGTGTGAGTTCATAAGTAGACAATGCGCTCATGTGAACAAAATTTGGCTGAAAGTAGGCGCACAAATTGTTACTCAGACGCACAAATCTGTACAGTAGTGCCCAAAATAATAAGACCCAGGTATTGACCTCCAGATGAATAGGCGCAAGCCGCTACTGAACGTCGACATGAGACTGCAATAAGATTGACGTCTAGGTCAAAAAGCGTGCGGCCTTAGAACTGCAGGTTGGTGCACGTGCAGCAACAAGCAAGGCAAATGAGTTGAGAACCTGCACATGCAGAAAACAAAACGCCGAGAGTGCCATGAACCAGGCTGAGATAAAGAGAGCACGAGGTGTACTTGCTTGTTACAGCCCTCTTGATAGGTATTGCCTGGCGATCGCTGCCTTTCTCGTGTAAGTAGCACGAGAAGTACCTTTTGACATGGATGTACTGAGAAAATCCAAGATGTATCTGTAAGGATCACCAATGTGAAAGTTCAAGACTTTAATGACTTGTCGTCAAAGCTGGTTACTGGGCAGCCCCACTGCTGATGTGTTCCAATGTAGAAGTTCAAGGTTTTAATGGATTGTCATTAAAGCTGGTTGATAGGAAGCCCTATTGCTGCCATGTTCAAGATAAGGAGGAGGATAAGAAAATGCGAAGTCTTGCTGGTTAACGATAACGAGACTTTATTCTTGTTTAAAGCAAGTTACAACATGCCTCTTAGGGCATAATCGTCTAGCAGTGTTGGTAGATAAAAAACAATTGGCCAGCTGTGTGAGCTTACGTGTGTGTGGTGCAACAATTATAAAGAGAGAGCGAGAGAGAAGAAGCAGTAGAAAAAGGAAATCCCTACAAATTTAATGTCCCTTTTTTGGCAAATATTTAAACTTTGAGTTTGCTTACCTATGTTTTTGATGGCGGTGTTTGAAAGATAAAGTTAAAATTTACAGCATCTATGCACTAAAAATATCTGATACTTTTGATAAGGATTACAAATCGTTAATCTATGTTTGTATGCCATAACCTTTCTAGTTAAAACAAATAATTTTAAGGTGGCTTGGGTGATTTTTATCGGCTTGATCATAACCTCTGAAATTCAAGAATGATGTCAACAAATTATGCAAAAAATACTGGGGTCAACGACTTAATTTTTTCGCAAATCGCTACTAAAAATTTACCAATTTAACATGCAGTCTTATGAGAACTGTCACTAAAACGGCTATAACTCTAGAAGTACTTGATTAACCTCAAAAATTTTAAATAGTTCTCGTGTATTTTCTTTCATAGAATTTATTACATTCTTGAAAATATAGGGTCAACGACTTAACTTAAGAGAAAATCAGAAGAAAAGTATGAAACATTCATCTGGCTTGCCTCACAACATTTCCCAATTTTTACAGTTATAATCTTACGTTACTTTTCTGGCAATTACTTGATCTTATACTTTTGTTTTATCAAAATAATTAAATTTATTGAAAAATTTACCGTCGAAAAGTGTTGATTTTTTAGGGGCCCTTATGGCACCCTACTCTAGGTACGGTACTAACCGCCCAAGCCACCTTAAGCATAAATTTCTCAATATTTTGTTTAGTTGAGAGTATAAATGAGGGCACCATTAGAGTGGGCGTAATCTAAACTACTTCATTACGTACATCTCATTTGGTGACACTAGGGCAAAGGAGGCTCCTTAAGAAAACCTCTATTTCACAATATTCGCCTTCATGTAGCATTATTAAGATCCAAGAATAAAAAAAATGAAATTATTTAAAAAGAAGTAAAAAATAATTTGGACACAAAAAAAATAACTTCAAAAGATACTTTTAACTAAACAATACATTTTTTTTAATAAAAGGGCATTTTCTGTAACACAGATATTTAAATGATTTGTTTATTCGATGGCTTAAGCAACATACAAAAAAGTAATGTCGGAATAAAGATAATAACATATCTTAACCTCTATATTACTTTAGTAATTAAAAGCGGGTTGCAGAAAATTATTTATTCGTGATTCAAGAGTATACTTAAGATGGCTGCCGAAAGAGTCATGCTTACAGGAAAAAACTTCAACGAATTCTATTATTTAATAGTTATAAGAAATGTAGGCTCATAGTTATGTAATAATATTAACAAACAAAAAAAAATTGCCACTGTAAGAACTCTATACACTAATGATAATATTAACAAAAAAATAAAATTTGATGCACTAAAAACCTTATGCTCACTGAATTTCTAACATTGTTTCTTATGATTCACTCTATATTAAGATATTTAAGATGTTATTTACTATGTACTTCCATGTATATTATAGGTTAACGTTTACTTTATCTATTTTCCTCTATTAATATAATATTGTCTATTATGATAAGAAATGCTATCTTCAAAAGCAAAGATTTTTGAAGTAACTGTTTATAAACGTTTCGTCTCGGATAAAAGAGGGCCAGTCGTATTATATATATTTTTTTCTTAAAGTTGTGTAGTAAAGCAGTGCAGGGGTAGTAAAGGGGTGGTTATAGTTTAGTCCAATATTTAATGGGTGTCATTATTTAGAAAAATGGCAAATTCTTATTTTATTTGTGGGGAGGTGATAAAGGAGTGGTGAGCAGGGATACTTTGGTAAGAGATTAACATATTTAACTATACGATTCATGTATACCTTAGTTAGTGTATATACAGTGTATATAAAAGAGAGAAAAAGGTATAGAGGGTATAAAACATCTTTGATTATCTTTGATTATTTAAACAAAATTTTTGGATAAATATCTCCTCACACAGCGTTGAAATTGACTAGGACATGAAATATACAGATTTTGTTAAAGTTGCCTAGGGGTATAAACAAGCTCCGATATTCATGTTCCACTCCCTACACAATTTACCCACTAACTTGCAGGTGTCAATAAGAAAATTTTAATATTAGCTTTTATGCAGCTTTACTCAGTTAAGCTCAATCGAATATATTTGTTATTTATGTACTCTTTAATCGCTTATCATATAAGTTTATATTTTTCTACTCAAAACATTCACTTGAATGTAAAGAAGCTTATTCCACTTAAGAATAACTACGTAAAATAATCAAGAATGCATTATCATCACTGGTTTTATGAATATTTATAAAGTAAGTGCTTATATTTTGTTCTTTTTTACACTACTTTACCAAAATGATTGTTTTTTTTTTTTTTTTTTTGATAAGAAGATTCATTCTCCTCAAGAAAAAAAAAATATGAAATATTACAAAATACTGAAATATACACGGAAAAAAGAAACTATTTCACATTCAATTGTTTTCCGTTGTCTGGTGTGTTAAGGAGTTTAAGCACCATTTTAATAGCTAAACTAAAGTATGTAGATCAAAATTCCTGATCAAATAAAATTTGACTCATCCGTAGTTGAGCTATTAGGGCATGTTTGTGAGTGGTATAAAAAAGAGACTCATTTACAACTATAAATTCCTACACAGGTCTTTCATGGCATTTTGAAATTTAGTCCTACAAGTTTCAGCTCTTTTTCAAGAATTTTATGCTGTATGTGACAAGAATTAAAGATATGGAGCTACAATAATCTATTTTCTAGTAAAATCTTTAAAGTTAAAGGTTGTTCAGTGAATATAAAACATCATTTAGAAAGTAAAAAGGAAAATATAAAATTCTCCTAATTACTTAGTTTTTTAAAAATTTTTTGCTAATGCATAATTGACAACACACATGAAGGTTTTACTGCTTATTTACTCTTATTTATATCACACATCTAAAATAAACTAAAATTGTGTCAGAGGTCGGTAGAGCTCAGAAAAATTAGGTGGATATCTGTGGAGAGTCTAAACCAAAATGCTGTAAATCAATAAGACTCAATTTTTCCTTAGCTTGTAAGTGATTAGTAGGGGGTTCATAAAAAGTGAGCAATAGTACATGGGGGGTTCGTTAGGTGATTGGGGATTTGCTATTTGCATATCTTTTATCATATGACTTCAATAAAATCAAGGTCAAAAACATATAGCTTTGAAGTTCTGCTTTTGTAAGGAGTCCTAAATCTCACATCTTACTTGCTAGAAACTTCTTTTAACTTTCTGGACTCATTTTAATTTATCTTGGTGAATTGCTAACAGCGTTTGCACTGATAAGCACACAACTTAAACATAATGTTTCTATAATGTACAAAAAATTGCTTTGTTTACTTATTCTTTTACGAGTACGAATTAACACTAATTAATACATTTTTGTTGACTGTAGAGTTTTATCGAATAGTACCTAAAAAAAAGACAAATTCAGAAATAAAGAGAAAAATACTGACTTGCTTTTGTTTTCCTTTTGTCATGCACTGCGACTTTAAAGAGAAAAAGAAAGCAAGAGCAATAAGAACACAGGAGGTGAAAAGTATCTGAATTTCCTGTTAACAAATAATCTAACGACTTTAGTATATGCATATGTATTTATATATATTTATACTACCATTTTTGCAGTAGCATCAGCCAGTACTTTTGCTGCAGCCAGTAACTTTTTTTGTTGCTCTGTATTGGAACGCTTATCTGCATCACCTTTAATACTTTGTATAAGTCGTGCTGTTGCTTGTCCAACAATCCTAGCTTGTCTGACCATTTCTGCAGCATCACCAGAAATAGAAAAAAGTTTGTCAGTTGCAAAAAATATTTTTTCTATTGCTTGTTCCTGTGTAGTTTCTTCGCTAAGTTTGTCTTGAGTAACCAACGTAATGTGGTTCAGAAAATTATTAAGCGTTTTTGTCACATTCGAAGCAGCTAAACTTAAGTCTTCGTAAACATTTATTTCCGTACTTGCCATACCACAAACCTGAAATGTAGAGTGAATACAAATAAGCATTTTTTAATTGTCTCAAAATGTATTGAAATTCTTTTAATGTACTTTTAAAAAACGCAAACAGATTTGTTTTCTTACTTTTATGAAATAGTGAGCTAAATGAGACGTATTTATTATAAGTTTTGTGACAATTGGTTCCAAAAAGTTCAGAATACGAGAGTACAAGGTTTTTTTTTTGAAAAAATTAATATAAATAGAAAATTTTTTATTGTAAATGAAGCTATACTATCATGAATTGTGTCAAATAATTTTTGAAAAATGGATATTGAATAACTTATAAAAAAAACAGTTCTATCTTCACAAAGACGTTTGCAATATAAAATGTGATAGGGTTTAGAATAGAGTAATAATGACAATTCATTTAAATTACATTAAATAAGGGTCAATATCTATTTTTTTGAACTGCATTATTCTGTCCATAGAATGTGAAGTCTGTAGGATGCAAAGTACAATCTGAAGGGCCAGAAAAGTGCCATTGTTGTAAATTTTTCCCCTAGATACGTATATTATTTTTCTCGCCGAAAACAAAAAGTGAGACATTGCGTTAGTGGTCATACTTTGCAACAGTAAACATTATTGTGCTCTAGGCAAAGAAACAAAAGTTTGCATCGAATTTCAAATTTTGTGTAAAAGAAAAATTTAGTGCTCCAAAACACTTAAAATATTTACAGTGGCATCCGATGAAACTGTTCTGAGGAAAAAAAAGTTTGTTAGTGCTACGAGCTCTTTTAAGATGGCCAGAAAGATGCCATTAACAATCGTCTTTTTGAACACTATAGCACATAAACAACGGAGGAAATCGTTAAAGCATTGAAAAATTGTTTCAGGAGACTGTTGAATTATATAGTTGGCTACTGCCATGCAATTTTTCTGAGCGTTTGGGGTAAAAGACGCCGGAGTTTGTTCTAAAGTTGCTTAGTTATTACGAAAAGAGCCGTTGCATGATCATCGATCATGTGCTGTTGATAGACATCAATGATGGCCTTGATTTGCTCCAAATAAACTATAACTGGTGACAAATTACAGGTGTATGTCTATGATATCAAGACCATAGCCCCATCGTCTCGATAGGGGAGCCTAGGTGAGCCAAGATGAAAAAAAGGACACCAAGTCAATGAAAGTGTTGCTCACTGTTTTCTTTAATTACTGTGGAATTTTGTAGGTAGTTCATACTATATGTTTTTAAGTTAAAAATGCAGTATTATATCAAAGTAATGTGCTGCTAGCGAGAAGGAATACAAAGAAAATGTCTGGAATCGTAGAAAAAGAATTTATGACTTTTCTATCACAACAATGCCATTATTTACTCATCCTTGCTTGTGAAAGATTTTTTAGCCACAAACAACTCCATAATTAAGCCTCGGTCATTATTTTGCTCAAATACGGTCCCATGTGACTTTTTTTGTGCCCAAAACTGATGTCTAAACAAGGACAAACATTTGCAATGATTAAGAGAATACAGACTACATAACTAGGAGAGCTCAAGGCTACACCAAAAAGTTCCTATGAAAAGTGCTTTTAGAAAAAAAAAGCGTTGGCACAAATACTTCGTATCTAATGGGTACTATTTTGTAGGAGACAACATAAATAATAATAAAAATAATAAATTAATAAATATTTCTGACAAAAAACTACAGATCACTACACTTTTTAAGCACACCTTGTTAGACAATCGGCTGAACTCTATCACTGAGACTTTTTCGATTAGTGCCCAACATAATCTCGAAACTTATCTAAAACTTCAAAGCTCCAAAAAATTGATTTTTTAGGAAAAATTAAATTATTACTTACTTTTTTTTTTTTTAACATTTGTCTGTCAGAAATTAACACGATAGTATAATTATGTTTGATATCAAGAAAATGTAGCACCCTAACCCCAGAAAAATGTTTACTTAGTTCAAATCTCGTCGTCAAAATCTGAAACGTATTTTTTTGTATGCAATTGAATGCTTAAAATCTTGGATTACAGAAGCCACTTCTGGTGTACTTTCTTTGTTTTGCAGCAAATTAAAAAATCAAAATAAGCAATTTGTACTAAGGTATTTATTAGTGATATATTGTTTAAAATATCAACCAGTTCTAAAAACTCCCTTCAATGTATAAAAATCTGATTTTACACCCATAACACAAACGAGACAAAAAAGTAGCTAACACTTCTTAATTAGAATAAGTCATACTCTGAATAATATAATAAATACCAAATACTCTACAGTTAGCTACTCACCTTTAAAAACAAAGTATTAACCATACATTACAACTCATGAGTTAACAAAAATCTTTGAAATAATCTGGCCATTACTTTTCCATTTATAAAACAAGAAGCAGTTTTTTTTTTTTAATTTCAGTATGGTAACGCTTTTCAAAAAGATTAATAGAAAAAAAATCATGAAAATATAAAAGAATTAATATGGACAAAATCGGTTTGTCGTAAATTGTTGAAAGAAAATAGTTGAAGTATCGACAATCACTTTTTTGCACTAAAAAGATCGCAGAAAACAAAAATTATGAAAAAAATGATCCCAGAATAAGGGCTATTAGAGAGATAAGAACTAGAAAAGTCCTTGTCAAACTCATAGACATTTTTTTGAACAAAGTAAATTTTGATCCGATGATTACGAGGGATGAGGTAGTATTAGTCGTCGAGGGTGGTGTTGGCAAGGGGGCTCCTAATAGTGCCGTGCAATTATTGTCCAGAGGTATTAAGGGCAACTACGTCGCTTATGTAAGAGCACCTGCAGTGGCCACTGCAGTCACATAGAAGGGGAATTACATAAAGATAGGTTGGGTGAGCTACAAGATTCAGCCCAAAGTGAAGAGTGAATGCTGTTTCAGGTGTATGGGTTTTGCACACGTTGCGACAAAATTCAGCGGAATCGACCAATCTGGGGTCTGCTGAAATTGCGGACACGTGGAACATGTAGCCAGTTAATGCTCTCTGAGAAGAATAAAGTGCTACCTTTCTGATACATAGATTCTAAGCCAGACGTCTACCACGCTGCTGGAAGATCAATGCGATCAATGAAATCAATGAAATACAAGGCACAAAAAGTTACTGAAAAAGCACATAAGTGAAAATGGCGCAGATTGTGTAGAGCAGCTTATACAGGTGCTGGCTGGCACGAATGAACCAGTACTCCTGGGAATAAGGACAGGCGCTACTCACAATAAGTGAATCCATCGTAGATCCCAGCGCTTCAATCGAAGGGAAAATGTGGAGGAGATGGTGGCTCTTTACAAAGATGCGAAGAGAATATTGGCGACGATAATTTAAGGAAGCGAAGCCCGTTGTGGCGCAAGCTTACTGCTATAATTATTAGGGATACCTGAAGTCTAAGCTATTTTGCAGTTACGCAAAGATTGAGTAGCCCGAGACCTGTGTGGCTTTTAATTTCTTGTCTAAAATTCAGCAGATGGAACAGTAAACACATTCTTTTTCTTCATGAAAATTCAATATGGTAATAAATAAAAGTTTCTTCTAAACAACAAAACAGAAAATAGTACATTACGTGTCTAGGGCTCAAAGTACAAATATTAGCTCTTAAAGGGCACGGTTGTTGTATGTAAGTGCCCGAGTCACGTATAATGCTTTTCTTACCAAGGGTGTAAAGTGTAATTTTGTTCCCGTGGACACAGCTTTCGCCCAGTAAATCACTTTAGATGCAAAAGGTACAAAAAATTCGTCTGCCCGTAGGTCTAAAGTGATTTCAATGGCACAAAGTGACAGTTACACTATATGCCTGTGGTTAGAAAATTTTATTTTTCTACTTCAGGCATTTTTGAGAGGATGATGTGCCCTTGGTAAAAAAAATAGATTCATCACATGAGTGCCACCACACCAAGGCTATCTTGCTAGAGTCATAGTTACGAGTACCGTGTTGCATTCAACTTAAAATGTTACTCACCCGTTCAGTAATGACACCGCGCATTTCTGCGTTAGGAGGCATATACGCAAAGAGTAGGTACCCCGCGGTACAGCAATTACTCCAAGCGTACAAGAATTTAACAGACGTCACTACGACTCATCATTATCACAGGATTTTACCCTGAGAGATGGCATGACAGTAGTCACGTTAGAATTCACGTGATTTAACTTCTGCCACCCGGATTGACTACCGGTAGCAAGACGTATGTACATGAATGAACATCCCTTGCTTGTCAACCTACCACTATATCAGCGCCTGCCCGCTAGAGGCTGAAATCAAACGAAGAGGGTACCAGAGCTGACCTGGTAGGGCTCCCACTCCATCCTAGATACTCGTGTCAATTAGACTTCTCTAATAACCTACATGAGTTTCGGTCACGAGCTCTTTCGATGCCATCGCTGCTTCAGTACATCGCTACGCTTCCAACTTTTTGCAGCGGTACCTTACTCCTCATTTGTTACCCAGTATCACTGGGATTGAGCTGAAGAGTCAAGTTTTTAAAGGTTATGCTCTTGAAGTATAAGCATCACCTCGCCGAGTGCTTTCTACCTACAGAGATCACTTTCGATCACTCTGCGTTTTCTACCAATGCCACTCGGAGGCAAGCGATCCTGACTTGATACGCGGGTTTTATATAACCAATAGGCTACACTCCACCCCCTTACGCACCCCTTATTCCATACGGCGTTTCCAAATCGGGTCAACAATGTACGCTAATATGATATCTCCCTAATGCTTCAACCTAAGTCAACTTTAGGGTTATTAGAAAAAATAGGTTCATCACATAAGCGCTACCACACCGTGGCTACCTCAAGTCTCTCAAGCTCTGCTTCGCAGATCCATCGGGCTGCAAAGTAGCCCTAGAGACGATGGCACTTATCCAATGAAAACCACCATATTATTGAAAACATCATCTAATAGTGGTAATATCAAATTTTGAATTCATTTATAAAACAAAATAACATTTTAGCTGTTTGGACCATGTCCTGGCTCTCATCAGATACAAAAATCTATGAGTAATAAAAATTCTTCACAATCCGAATTTCAATA